TCAGGTGCATTTTGCACAAGAGGATCATAACTAACACTGCAAGAAAAATAATAACACACATTTTAATGCATGAATTATGACTTTAAAAAATGTATATTAAAAGTTTTAAGTCTTTATTTGTGATTTGCTGACCAAGCCTAGCAGCATTCTGCCTGTCAGTGTGGTACAGTTTAGGAAAAGAGAACAATAAAAATGAGTTTGTTCAATATTTTATGCTGCTACCCAATGTTTCACCTTCTCCTGACACCCACATCCACAAATAATACACCTACTTATTCAACAAGCCCAGCGTGTATTATTAAGTCCTTCAAAGCTGTCACCCCATGGAGAGGCACCGCTGTGCAACAATAAATTTGGAATTCAATTAACTAAAGCACATCCTGACCTTTGATATTGTAACATGACATAAGAGGGTAGTTATTATGTGTTATATAACTGTTACTATCAACCAGTCTGTGCATGCACACATGGCTCAAGGATTCAAATTTCTGCATTTTAAAGTTTTCTTTTGTCATCAGCAACCCCTTGTGTTTAATTTCTCATCGACCTCGTTTTGCTGTCTCTGTGTTATTCCACTTCACGTCTCTTGAGCCACCCCTCTGACTCTATTGATCAGTTTTCTGTATCAGGGGTTTCTTTCACTTTCTGTCTCCAGGGAGATGTCTCGACATTCAAAGCTGAATTCTGTCATATCATTAATTTACACAGTAACTGAGTTGTACTCAGTGTGCAACAAAGCACCACACTGACGCCGTACCTGTAGAGTTCCTAAGCCCACCCCCACCCCCAGGTCACAAGCTGGTCACAGTCCAACACCAGTTTTCCTACAACCACCAATTTTTTTCAGGATGGCTCAACTTAATGTGAAATCGCTCACACATATGTTTTAATATAACTGTTTGTTGTTGGGTTTTTTTATGTTTCCTGGTTCAAAAACAATAATATAGCAGCATTGAAAGAGATGACCCCCCACTCACACCTACAACTACTATCATTCTAATGGACAGAATTGGAAAAGAGGTGAGATAGCCACAATATAGCCAAATCAGTTTACATGCACTGACACTGACATTGGGAATTTCTCATTTTTATCCCTATTATGATAAAGACTGAACCAACTGTTATTATCAGCATAGTAGTATATTAGTTTTGGTGTCAGGGGGGCTTGACACTGAAAATGTCACTGTGTCTGATCAACACTGTATATTTTTTGACACCATCTTAACCAGAATTGTCAGAGAAAATGCCATCTGGGAGTGAATACTAGACACTGCAGCTTCAAGCTCTTATGAGCTAACAGACAAAACGATTGTTAGCTTGCTAACATCATGACCCAGTGAAAAATGAAAGAGATAAAATGTAATACAGCTGGTGCATCTGACTTATGTAATAATGAATCAAAATAGGAAATTTGAAATGACATTTCTCAGGACAACAAAGGATACCTCAAATTAAAAAAATGTTATGTTAGTATCCTTATATTATAGGTCTGTACATAGAAGAACGTAGTCACGGCTAGCCTGATAAAGCCTTTAAATTTATTATTTCACAGCGGCAATGCCTGTTTTATAGCCAGGCTAACTTAGTCAGGGATTCCCAGAAGCATACAAATGCCAAGATAATCTTTTTTCCATTATAAATTAATGAGGGAGATATTATTTTTGTCTTGGGAGCTATGGCCAACAGATCAGTGCAGCTATAACATAAAAACTATGCTATGTCTCCATCTAGTGACTGAATAGATGTCCACATTCATTTTTCTTTGCTCTGCTCTGACTGCAGGGTCACACAGTATGTATCCAGTGTGCTTCTCTTTAATTATATCTCCTCCTACTGGATCTGGTAAAGCTCTTTCCAAAGCTGTACATTTAAGAGTGGATGTGATCCATGTTTGTTTTATCCCTGTGCTGTCTGCGTAGCCTACGTTTAAATTCCTAATAGCTGCTTTGTGTTCAGCTATCCTTAACTTGAGGTGCTTTCCGGTTTGGCTGACATATGTGAGACCACATGGACATTTAAACATGTAGATGGCTTTTTAATCTCGTTGTACTGGATAAAATGACAATAAAAATATTCTATTCTATGTAGATAACATGTGCAGCCATGTAGTTACATTTTTTTTTATCTATGTTGATGATAAAATGGTTTGTGTTAAATGTGTCTGAGCAATGTTTACAATGACCACATCTATATTTTCATGAACTTTATGTGAAAGCCAGTTAGGTTTTTAGAGGCTTCTGCATATGCTGACTGCACCAACAGATCCCCTGTGGTTTTATCTCTTTAACAGCAAAATCAAAGTGAGGAACCAGATGTTTTCAGCTGATGTTAGTTTTTTTTTTTATTGCTTTATCAAGACTCGCACATTTCCTTGGCCTTAGCCTCAAAATTTGACTCTCTTCTTCAGATTTCAACCTGTCAAACTGTCCATAAAGAATATTAGTAATCTTATTTTAACCAATAAACAAATAACACAAACCACAACTTGTCATTATGTGTTAATAAGGGAACTTTAGAGGTGCTGGTACATTCTGTTAGCCTACCTCCAGAGAGAGCCAGGCTAGATGCTTTTATTCTTTGTGCTAAATTAAGCTAACATCTACAAGTTGTGACATCACATTTATTGTACAGACATGAGAGTGGTATTAATTTTCTCAGCTCTTGGAAAGAAAGCAAATACATATATTTTCAAAAGGTCATGTCTTACAAGTATATGTTTGGGCTAAAGGCTCAAATGCACTCTGTTCCCTATGAGGAAGATAAAGTACCATGGTCAACATTTAATTACTACAACTCAGTCAAGTGTTCTAAAATGTCACAGTCATTTATTAGAAGACCCTCTGTCAGGGACTAATTTGCACAATGTCACTGTGACCCCAATCCATCTACAGTACACTCCCTGAGGGACATGATGAGGCCAGAGAAAGTTCAACACGAGGTTACTCTTAATTGCACTGCAAAGGGTGTTTCACGCCTCCTTTACATTCAAGGCCATCATCACTTTTTTGCCTGCTCATTATCCCCCTCTGAGGGATTAGCAGCAAAGGTGGATAGACGTACATGTGCCCTCAATGGACTGAATTTTAAGCAGTTTATTGAATTAAACATTGTGATAGCCTTGGTGAATATTCCCTGTCAGTGTTCTGCTGCTTAAAATTGGTGCAAAGTGTTTGAGGACATCGGAATTTAAATGTATTTAAAAGGAGAGTGCTGTCAGAATAAAAATCTTTGGCAGCCCTTGTGAGAAGGATTTATTACCTTATTATTTAATATGAAGGTTTTCAGAGATGTTTCTCATTGCTTGTCTGTGTGAGGATGGTGTAGGCAGAAAGGTAAACTTAAGTCACTTGAGGGATTTTATGCCATATGTAGTGTTATGTGAGAAAATGTGCGAATAAATGAGCTAGAGGGTTTTCTTAATATGCACAGTATGATAGTTGTCCCCAGTGTACATAGCATCATTTTCTTTTTTAATGTTGACCATGTTTAGCATATTAACATGCTAATATTTTCTATAATTAGCACAAAGTATGGCTGAGGGTGATGGGAATGTCGTTAGCCAGACTACAGGCCATAATAGAATTTCAGTATGACGACATCCATCATTCACAAAGACCTGATCTTTGGACTGTGAGATTGTGAATGTCTGTACCAAACTGCATAACAATCCATCGAAAGATTTCACTGAAAATCAGATATGTCAGCTTCATGGTGGTGCTGAATGGACGGATAACTGACAAACGTAAAGCCTACATTATTATAGAATCAGATGAACTGCACTAGTGTTGCACTGCAACACTATGATGTCTGGCATATGAAACTAACTGTAGTCATAACCCTGCCTTATTTTCCACCTCTTTATCTTACAATCCAGTGCCACCAGATGTCTCCATAAAATTACAAATTGTTCCATTATGTTTCTAATTCAGTCACTTTAGATCAGCTCAAATGGTTTCAGATAGGCTTTTTCCCTTGTTGCAGAGTATTAAAATGTATTTGACATACGGTAGCTCATACAACACCTTTACCACCATGATATTTCTCACTAAATCCTGTTACATTAATGTCACATATGTAGGGAACCTTGACATGAAACATTTGACAGTCCTTGTATGGTAAGACCCGTTTCTCCATTGTTCCTCCTTAAATTCATTCAGTCATTGTCTTGTGTCATGATTATGTTTTGCAGAAGGAGAGAAAAACACATTTGAAATGAAGTTTGTGTCATGATTATGTTTTGCAGGAGAGAAAAACACATTTGAAATGAAGGTGATTTGTAGGTCATTTGTTTTGCCTGTTAATCTTTTTGACATTCTCATTATAATAAGTCATTTTAAATTGAAGAATCCTAAAGAAATCATCAGCCATTAGGAAATTATTTAACAAATGGATGCTTCTGCCCAGCAGGGGCCTGTACATGAGGCCAATCACTGATGGCAGCAATGGCACATTTGATATCTTTGTCTTGAAGGTAATTTTAGACACTTGAACTGTTCACAGCAAAACATTCATAAACGTATGGTTTTAAATACAAGTCATGGGTATAATTGAGAATGTACTGGGAGATCTTTGAAACTTAAAATGCTTGACCACATATTGTACTCTGCAGGACCAGGACCTTTTTTGTAGGCTATATAGCCCTATTCTACAGTTTTTACATGCAGACTAGTTTATTTTTTTGCTTTTAGTTGGGAATATAATGTAACCAAATTTTTACAACTTTTTTTTTTTTTACCAACTATCCTCTTCATGTTTTAATATATTTATTTTATTATTTGCAGGCCCACGTTTAAAATAGTCCTGCCAGTGATTGGCTGGTTAATGAATTTCTTCTTCTTCTTCTACTTGTTCTTGGCAGTAGTAAGCTAGTAGGCTAGTAGTAGACAGAATGAATAGATAATGTATTCAAGCAATTTTATGTCTGCATAATTAAATAAATTGGATCAAATAGTAACAATGAGATCACGCATCAGTTTTAGTTAATCACATACGATCCCAGCAGCCCGCATTTCTGTTAACACGCAGTTGTTGAGGATTTAACATCACTGTCCGTGGAATGTCGACGAGGACATTGGCTGCGTGTTCATATTGAACATAATAGTTCCGACAGGACGTGAAAGCAACATTTGTTACAAGGTGTCATGGCGCAGGAGAGACGAGAGATATGCGGCGTCAAACTTTAATTTCAGCTCGTTTCGTTCGGTGTTAGCGCGATATACCTCATCGATTTAATAACATTTAGAGAAGGCAATTACGGGTAAGTTGAGTAAAACTGAGTTGGTCTGTTTTTAAGGTCGTCAGTTTGTTCTAGTGCATATAAAAGCTCCGTTATGTCCGATAGCAAAATAACGTCACGAGCCTCGTATAAATGACACTAGCGTTACTTTAACGTCTTTGGTTGTTGTTGAACACGTGAAATATTTTCTACTGGTTCAAAATACTGTTTGGTATGTGAGTCTATATGCTATTAACAACTTCTACATGATGAAAATGTTTACAGCATTTTGAAAGCCTTTGCTTTGCCTAAAGTTTATTAGCAAGACAGAGGTTGATGAAAGACTTTCACTATATTGTGTTGGTGTTGTCATAGCTTTATATTAAACGAGTAGCCTATGTTTTACTTTTTATGGCTTTAGGCCGAGCATTGTGTCTGAGCTATGATCCAGCACAATAGCTACATCTGAATAATATTGGTCTGATATGTTTGGAACAATTTAGCACTGAGGCCTCAATGTGCATAATGATTTGGACATGTTTGGCTGAATGACAAATGATGGCGCACATCAGGTATTTGAAATCTTCCCTGGTGGAAAATAGGTGTCAAAAATACATAATGGTGGAAACGATATTTAAGTATTGTGCTTAAGAACATGTAGTGTGTGTGTGTGTGTGTGTGTGTGTGTATAGATAGATCGATCGATCAATACATGAGTAGCACCCAGAAAGGAATCGGTAGTAACACCAGAGGAGCAAAGCACCAGCTACCGGTTGATAAAGTAGTCACTCGAGACTGCAAGTCTAGGCGCCCCA